TAAGTCGCGCTTTCGAGACAAGAAAAACGCCAAGTTGAATTTCGCCAATCTTCTCAGTAGAACGGGAGATAATAGAACTGTCTTTTTTCTTTCGGAGGAGGGGCAGTGTACCTACATTTTATCCAACATATTGTAATTATCTGATAAGAAAGAATCCTTAAGGGGACGGTGGACTTTAAAATAGCTAAAAATTAACCAAAGTATTGAATTTGATTTTTTACTCTCGTAATATTTCATATATGTAACTATTGGGTTGGCAACTAAGTAATTGCGGATTTTTTTTAGAAAATCAAAGACAATTTTTTCATGGAACTAAATAACTTTATTCTGTAATGTATTGCCCATTTTGATCAATGACCTTTTGCCATCTTTCAGGTAGCAGCATCATAATCCCACGTTCATAAAACTTCTGGTTTTTATTAGCAAAAAAAACTGAATCAGGTACGATTTGACATCATCATCATTATTGAAATTTTTACCATTCAAGGAGTTTTGTTAAAGTAATCAGAGTTAAAGTTCAAAGTAAATGTAAAGATCGAAACAAAAAGTAATCAGATGGTGCAAGGTCAGGACTATATGGTGGATGTGGCAAAACATCCCAACCAAGCTCCAATAATTTTTGCCGAGCGAGTGACCAAAGATGTGTGTGGCCTTGCATTGTCATGATGGAATACAACACCTTTTCGATTTGTCAATTCGGCCGCTTTTCTTCAACTGCATTGTTTAATTTCGTTAGTTGTTCAATGTAGACATCAGAATTGATCGTTCGGTTGGGTGGTAAGAGTTCAAAGTAGACAATTCCTTTGTAATCCCACCAAACTGATAACAAAACCTTCTTTTGATGAATATCAGCTTTTGATGTTGTTTGAGTTGGTTCACCTGGCCTGCTCCACGATCTTTTCCGCTTGATATTGTTGTAAACAACCCATTTTTCATCGCCAGTTATCAGTCGTTTTAAAAATGGATCATTTTCATTACGTTTCTTTAGCAAATCGCAGCTGTTAATGCGTTGCGTTATATGCGTTTCTTTCAGTTCGTGAGTTATGTATCGAGTTTTTGAACATAGCCAAGTTGTTTTAAGTAATTTTCAATGCATGTATGTGATACATGAAGCTTCTCTGCAATCTCACGTGTTGTACTGTGACGATCCGAATCGATTATTGCTTTGATTAGGTCGTCATCAACTTCAACTGGACGACCAGAGCGTTTTTCATCTTTGAGTGAAAATCACCAGAACGAAATTTGGCAAACCAATTTTGACACTGCCGTTCTTTTAAGGCTTCGTCACCAAAAAAGAAAAAAAAAAAAAAAAAACAGAAATAGTAAAAAATTGAAGCAATGTAAATGTGACAAATGAAGGTAAAAAATATGCTGCGGGTGAATTTTAAAAGTTTCATTGGATGTAATGCATAAATTGTTATCACTATAACTTTGAATAACATACCAATTTAAGATATGTTTATATTTGTCATATTTAATATTATGAGATTAAAAATAGTTAAATGATACGAAAATGTTGTCTAGTGTTTACAAATTCATACTTAAAGTTAATTTGCTGTTTCTCATGGCTATGTATTAAAGGTAAGTTTGAAGGAAAACTTTAAATTCGGTTTTCACAACACAAATTTTTTGGCAGTTCCCGTGTCTTGAAAATGCTCCATGCGACTCATTTTTAGTTCAAAATTAATGATATTTGGAAGAAACTATCTAGTTATATGTTACAGTAGAACTGTGTATGCATTTTTGGATATGAGGTTATTAAGAAATTTAAACTTGTGATAATATTTAACAAAAGGTGATATATTTTCGAAAACTGGGTTTAAGTTCACAAAATTCCTTTTTAAAAATTTTTGATTCATCATATTCAATAACGGATATACAAAACCTTTTTTTAAATCTTTATAACTAACTTAAAGGAAAAGTTAGGAAAAAGTATTTAAAATTTGAGCGCAATGAGCATTTCTAATCTTTAATTAAAATAATTAATTATTTGTTTTAAAATTTTTTAATTTAAAATATATTGAAATTTTGAACATATATTTTATAAACTGGTGTTATAAGATGATATGTTACCGTGAAAGACCGATATTGGAGAATGTTGACTTTCACCGGAGAATATCAACATTCACCAAATACGTCGGTAAAAGACCGAATATTTCACTACATTCTTGTACATTCGGACCCTCACCGGTGTATGTCGACAATCACAGATATGCTCTGGTGAAAGTCGAAAAGAGAGGTCATAAAGTGCCATAATAGTTTAAGTTGTTGCAATAAATAAGATTTGAATCACATAATTTAGTAAGTTTTTTATGACTGTTATTTTATTTTCTCATTTAGAACGTACTGTATAATTAAGTAAGTTTTTAACTTCTAATATTTTCGCCCACCAGCGGCCGAGCGGTAAAGTCGCTGAACACTGGCAGTTTGGTCCGAGGTTCGAATCCCGCGAACGGGCTGGCTGCATGGGTGTTTTCGTGGTTTTCCCCATGTGTAACGTGTATATGAGCCAGTTTCCCTTAGAAAGTCCTCCATGAAAGGCATCTCTCCTCTTAGGCAGATAGCCCTAGTGTGCTTTGCCATAATTAAATACACCACACCACACACACCTCTAATATTTTCCTTTCTCATTTTGAATGTATTGTGTGTTTTAGGTTCTCATGTTCTTAAGTTCTTATTTAAAGTTTCGAGTGCGTTTATTCGCGACTGAATGACGGAGAAGAAAATATAACATTGTTATATGTTTAACATTCACCATTAGTACATGGTGAATGTCGACATTGACCGGTGTAAGTCAGAAATAAGAGTATTTGGAAAATATTTCGGACATACACCAAGAGACTATGTGAATGTTGACATTCACCGGTGAAAGTCGACATTCTCCAGATTTCGGTGTTTCACCGTAACATATGTTTGTAAAATTTCTTGTTAAAAGCACAAAAACTTAAAAAAATAATTTTTAAAGTCCACCGTCCCTTTAAAACCTTAGCTTGATCATTTTAGCTACATAAAAATCTTTAATTCGGGAGCCCTATACAACTACACCCCTACACCCCTAGGTGCGGCCTTATATGATGACATTTGTTTACATTTCGAGTACATTAAACCAATATCATTGAACGACGAAAAAAATGTCCTTCAAATCAGAAATGGAATTCAGCTAATTTAATGTAAGCAAAACTAGAAGCATAAATGAGTAGGTACACCGAAGCACTTTAATTTGGAAAATGCAGAAGTTTTTGTATAAAGCGTTCATTATATCGTTCGTGCAAAGAGTAATTTGTGAACGGTTCATAAAGTTTTTCACTATTATTGGACCTCTAATATTAGTATATGGAACGCATCCCTGAGTGGAAGAGAAAATGTCAATCTAAAATTAATAATTACGCAAAAAAAAAAAAAAAAAAAAAAAAAATGCTAGGTTATTGTAGAGACTTTTAAGGAACTTCCTTCTGGGGCGGGGAAAAAAAATTCTGCACATACAAGTACTTTGTTGCTTGTGAAGAAGAGGGACCTATGTCTGATCGCCCTCAAATTTATAGGGTAATTCAAAATCTACGCCAAATTAAGACTGCTGTTTTGCCTAATTTTAAATACTCAATTAAAATTGAAATCAAGCTGTTTGGGGATTTAATCCCTTACTTGGCGACAATTCTCTGCCACTTGGCGATTTTTATAACCAATTCTGACCATATTTGGCGGCATTTCTTAGTGAGTAATCTAAAGTTCTTAGTGAGTTAAGTGTTCTTAAAGAATCATAAGCCCGAATAACACCAAAAAAATGCATTTCAACTCTAAAAACTAGTGTAAAATAAATGGTAAAAAATCAGGAAAGAGTGTTTATAGAAGACATTTTATGGAACTATTTAGAAGCAATATTTTACTTAAAAAATTCTTGGTACTTTTCCGTTTCGCCGGCGCAAATCTTGCCAAGCAGACTTTATTGGCGACAACATGCAGTATACACATTAAAAATGTTAACAAATGTTAGTTCTAATAATTTTTTATTTTGAAGCCATAAACATTTTAATATCGTTTAAAATTTTGTAAAAAGCCAATAAATAAAGACAATAAATTTGTAAAAAGACATTAATTTAAGAATTTACCATGCTTTCATGGTTCAACATCCTGATTCGCCGGTTCATATCACGTGACCCAACCATCTCACGCAAACTACGTTACAAAAATCAAATTCTCTCAGTAATTATCTATATTAATTTCAAGTTAAATCTTAATTTGGAATGAAATTTAAATGAAGTTTAAATGCAAGAATTATTTCAATTCGTTGAAATAGCTTACTCAGAAATTATGTAAAACCGCCGTGCTTTACTTCGCTTCATTACAATTGATAAATTTAACCCTTGACTTTTCTATATTTTCGCCTTTGCATGAGCGGTGTGATTGCATCTTAATTGACTTAATTACAGGGAATGGCCTTAGGAAATAAAATTGAACTATCTGGTAAACATTCTATGTACTTTTATGCCAGTATTGAAAGAAACAATCAATCTGATAAGAAAGGGCTGCTACTTGTTTTGAAAATGAGGCGTAAAAGGTTGCCAGCGAGGATATCCTGTTTGGCATCAGTTGTACCATACTGGCGACTTTATCGCCTGCGCCGGCAAAACGGAAAAGTACCAAATTTTTTAAAAGCTTACACACTGACACCACACTCGAAAGGTTAATTCTTTATTTGGCGACATTCCTCGGGAGCTTTGCAATTCGTATAATCTATTTTGACCTTAATTGGCGTTCTTATTCAGTTAAAATCGTTTATTCTTAATCACAATAAATGATGTTTTTGCTAGTTTTCGTATGCAAATGGTTCAGAATTTGTCAATTCTATAACAAAATCCGAATGATAACCTTAACCGCGATCACATTAAGTGGCATCTCCTGTATTTCGTAAATAAACTTGGCAGTTGCTCTCTGCATTAAGCTATTTGGCTGCCGCTCAGTTCTCGTGAAATCAACACAGACAGACCTTGAAAAAGTCTCACCTTGGTGCTGGTCTCTTTGACAGAAAGTACTTCGTTTGTAAGGGATCCATTCTCTAGCTTGGTGACGGAGTGGAGAGGTTCTTTGACTGCTTCTGAAGATGCTGGTAGCTGGGGAGCAAGATTTTCTTTGTCCGATTCTTGCCTGTTGAGAGAAAAATTTTAAGTATAATCTGTGATTAGCAATTATGGAACACACACACACACACATATGCTGTGGGTAAAAAAAGTATTTGCACACCTACATTTTTGTTTGCAATTCATAAAAAGAAGCATTAAGAAATAAAAAAATTGGTATTGCCAAATCAGAATAAGTTTAATCATCCAAAACAAACAGAAGAATTACAATAATATAAATAACAATGCTTTTTTGTAACAAAATTAAATATCTCGTATCAAAAAGTATTTGCACACCTGCATGAATACAAAAAAGTAAAAATATATAAGCAAATTTCAAATAACTAATATTTAGTATGCATTCCTTTAGCATCTATTACTGCTTGTAATCTTTGCTGGCATTGATTTAATTAAATTTTCTGTACAGTAGGGGTCAGTATTAGACCATTCTTCAATAAGGGCTTGTTTAAGAGCAGATTTGCTTGGAAATCTTCCTTTTCTTATTTTAAATCCAAAGAATTCCAAAAATTTTTCAAAGGATTTAAGTCTGGGATTGTGGTGAGTGGCAAAGTTTTCTGGGTACATTAAAAGCAACCAAATACGTGTTATACCGGCATTGTGGGATCATTGTCTTGCTGAAAATAGTACGAATTACTGATACTCAATTTTATTGCACTTGTGGCAAATTATCTCGCAACACATCATATAGGTTCGAGCTGGTCATATTCCCCTCAATGAACACAAATTACCCAACTCCTTTGCTAGCCATGCACCCCCAAATCATAACAGAACCTCCTCCATGTTTAACTGTAGGTAACACATGTTTTGGTATGAAAAGCGTACAAGGTTTTCCTCCAAACTAATTTCCTGCCATCTGATTTAAAGATATTGAACTACCCTCTTCGGAGAATATGACATTTTTCCAGAAATCAATTGGCTTATTGAATATTCCTTAGCGAATTCAAGTCTCTTCAGCTATTTCGTTCAGTTATGAGAGGTTTTTTTCCTTGGTGATCTCCCATAAATGTGTGCATCGTGCAGGGCATTTCGAACACTTTGGGCACAGATTTGAACTCTAGATGCTGAAGCGACATCATTGGCTAAAGCAATTGCACTAACAAATAGATTTCTCTTATGATTTTTTGCTTCATTCGCAGTGAAAGTTTCTTTGGGCGTCCAGAGCGCAAGTTATTTGATGTAGATCCTCTTTCTCTATAACGGTTTTATAACATACCGAACAACAGTAGAGAAGCAAACATTTACTTTTTTACCTATTTCTCGATAACTTAGGGCCATTTTCACGTAGAGAAAAATTTTTTTTTCTCGCAACGAAATCGGCAATTCAAATTTCTTAGGTGCCATTACAATTTGAATCGACAATCAACTTATAACGTTTCGACAACACCTGTATCTGGTAGTCGTCTTACGTATGTTATTTACTGCGGGATGACTGTGAAATAATAGCATAAAAATGCAAATTTGCTAAAGTTGAGTTCGAGTGTGCAAATACTTTTATGACATAAGCTATTTTAATATTGTTGCAAAAAATGTCTTTTATTAATATTGTATTTTTTGTAATTAATTTAAATGAATAGCTATTCTATTTTTAATGCCAATAAATGCCAATTCTTAATGCATTTTCTTATAAATTGTGAACAAAATGTATGTGTGCAAATATTTTTTGTACCCACGTATGTGGATTTTAAATCATAGCTTAATATTTTTTTCGCGCGCTGTCTAAATTTAGCTGTGACTGCACGAGTGAAAATGATAGAACTTCGCCACTTGTTTTATGGAGGAGATGTAAGATGAATAGATGTATTAAGAGATATTAGATATTGTATTAATGGCTAAACATTGTATAGATGCGTATTAATAGATGAACGATATTATAGATGTATTAATGTTCATTAAATGTTTGTTTGAGTATGAATTGTGATTTCGAAACTAAAGAGCCCATATATATATATATATTATATATATATGTGTGTGTGTGATGTACGCTTTAGTCGTAGCTTAAATAAGAGACGATAAGTTTTTAAAAAACAGGATCCTTATTATTATTCAGGAGGAAAATAGCAGTTACAAATCAGATACCGGAGGTAAATAAAAGAAAACTAATCACTTTTTGTATCAAGTTTACTGCATCGTGATTTAAAGAACAAAAGCCCCGATATCCTTTTGCGAGTCATTTTATAGCCTCTGGAAAGGTGGAGCTTCCATGAAATGACGTCAGCCTGTCAGCCAATCCAGTTCGCTTGAAAATTTTCCAGAACATTCTAAAACTGTACGTGTAGAAAAGGCGGGGAAAAAACAACTTGACTACGGGGCTGTGTATTTAATCCACGTACTTTCAAATAAGAGAACGTCGCCATAAAAATGAAAAGAACATACAATTAGAATTTTAAGTGTATTCTTGACTATGGAATTTTATTATTTACATATATATATATTATATATGTAATAATATATATATATATATAAAAGAAACGTGCAGGCTTTTATTTAATTTGCTCATGGTGTGTCACCGTGAGTGGAATTTTGTCTTCGATTTTTAGCCTGCCTCCTCAAACTTTGTGCAAACATTGTTTCGCAATGAAAATGTAACGTGGTGAAACGATTTTTTTAAATTTAAAGTTTCATCGTGATTTTGCCCATAACATTGAAGAACACATAAGCATACCAGAATCGCCATTGTATTGAGCGGAAAATAATAGTGAAACTTGTATGAAAAATTTCTGGATTTCGACCAATTTCCGAAAATCGGTACATTTTTTTAGACTACTTGACGTTTGTGATTTTAATACTTCATATAAAAATGCATCGGATATAAAATTTTAAACTTCTTGCGCCGGCCAAATTAGCAGCGAAAGGTATTTTGTTTGCGTAGCGTTGTTTATTAACCCTTTCGCAGTCCTCTCCTGTCCACGAAAATTCCCCCCCGTCTGTTTTTCGTAGCGTGTAATGTTGTTTTCTCTGTACATCATAACTTTCCATACATGACTTTCGTAGTGGATGAATGTCAATGAATATAAGTAAATTATAAGGGAAATAAAGCATAATGGAAAAAATAATAATATCTCTTCTTTTAACAGCAGGATTTGATTAATCCAGGCGGTCCCCTCCTCCATTTTGTTGTTGTAATCTTTCACAAATTATTTTTGTACTTCCTTGTACGAAGTAAAAAGGAAGTATTGTAATCGCAAAAAGTTTCAGGAAGCTATTTCGACGAAAAAATACCCATTTTGACCGCTATCGAATGCAATTTAACGATGTTTTTGCGTCATATCTGTACGTAAGGACAGAATAAATACTCTTTCCTTCAAAAAAAATATAAACTGCTTTAAAATTAATTCTGAAGAGAATTTTCGTTGGGGTTGTACGAACGTATGTACGTACGTGCGTGCGTAAGTACGTACGTACGTATCTCGCATAACTCAAAAACGAGTAGCCTCAGAACGTTGAAATTTTTATATAGGACTGCTTATAAACATGAGATGTGCACTCGTATTTTGGTTGCAATCGGCCGCACCAAACGTATATAAAATATATTTATATATATATCCACTCTTACCTGCTCAGTGATATCGTTTCTTACTTATATGTGTAAATGTACCATTTTTGATTTAAAAATGATTGAATTATTTTTTTATCTTCCGGTTAAGATTTTATGCCTTTAGTAAAATTGTGTGCAATATTTTTAGAATATCACAATTTAAAGTTGTTTATGCCGCTAAGCCGTTTTTAATGGCGGCCTATTGTGTTTACATTTGAAACAGGAGGGACTAGCGGATTTGTTGCAATCTGGAGAAACTTAGCTCGCAACAACAAAGATAACGCATTCATTTACTTGCCAATTAAATCATTGTTAAATCTTTCTGAATTTTTCGAGGAAATAAGCGTTTGAGATTTACTTCGTAATTTTTACTATAGATATTTGAGTTTTATATTTTTGCCTTCTCGCGAAGTGAGAACCTGAATTAATTAAATGAGAAATACTCAATCGTCTGTGAAAAACTGTTTTTTTGTTTGTTTGCTTAATTTCTTTTATACATAGTCTAGCTTTATTATAGTATTTGAATAGAACATGTGGCAACGATTAGATAATTCTTTAAATGATATACATTTTGCGCATTCTGAGTTATAATATGAATGAAATATAATATTGTTAAGTAAACCTAGCGCCAGAGTGTCGCTATTTTAAACAAGTGAATTTTAAAGAATGCATTTATTCTATTGTGGTTTATGCGCTGTCGGCGAAGTAGGTTTAATTCAATCTAATAAGTTTAAATAAAATGCAAAAAAACATGCGTATAATTTAATATTCTGTACAAAGAAGTCATGTGGTGTACACATCAGATTTTTTTTTTTTTTAATGTCATTAACATTACCAACAAAAGTTCAGATTTCAAAAAGAGATGTAAGACATCGCCTGTAATTCTTTTTCGATCGTTTTGTTTTTGTGTAGATATGCAATATTTCGTAACTACGTTTTTCGTATTCGAAAATGTAAGAATTATTTCAAATAAAAATGTTTTCTTTGAATATAAATTTCAATTACAGGTCGTTGAAATTTTGTCTAGATAGCTTAGCCCGGATTAGAATATTTGGAAGAAAAAGGTAAGCGAAACCTTTTTCGTGAATTTAGAATTTTGAATTAAAAACATCAAGAAATTTGTAACTAACATTCTTATATGTTATTTGGATATAACATTCTTATTCTTTATAGTTTTATAAAATTATCTCTAAGAAGAGTGTTCTTCGTTTCGAAATAAGTATTATTAATAGAAGTTTTTTGAAACTGTAAGTATTTTAGTTTTCCAGTTATTGAACTAAGAACCTATACAGCGTATTTCTCATACTCAGATAAAAATTATCGTCACTAAATAAAAATTATCGTTTTATAACGCTAAAAATTTCAGTTTCCATATTTAATACTAACCATGCGGGAGATATTTTTTATAAGTCAGTTGGTCTCACTTTCGTCAGTGCAATTCTATTATTAAGTTTTGTTTATTTAGGAGACTA